TTTCGCCCATTATAGCCATGTTATTCCTCTGTGCCCTGTAAATTCACGCCATATCCCATCCTTCAAACCGAAACACAGCCATGTAAATACAACTGCTTCACGGTTGAAGTACGAATGGGGACAGAGGTACCCAAGCAATCGACTTTTGTACAAAGTCTCCCTCAGGTGAAGTTTACTTGAATAAAAGTATTTCTTTCTTCTTTCAACTAAATTTCTAACAGATTTAAGTAAAAAATATCATTATTTTATTTATATACACTATCGGGACTTAAATGTATGAAAAATTTGCAGTTAAATAATACCTACATACCAATTTGAATTTGCATTTTTATTACCATCGCTTTTAAATATATATATATATATATATATATATATATATATATATATATATATATATATATATATATATATATATATATATATATATATATATATATTTTTTTTTTTTTTTTTTTTGCAACTTAATGGCAAACAAGCTGACAGCCCACCTGATGGAAAGTGGTAGCCGTCGCCTATAGACATGAGCAGTACCATGGACATAACAGAGTATACTGTTTCGCTCATAATACCCCCCATGCGTTGCCATTCCTAAGGACTCAGGTGTTATTCCTCTGTACCCTGTAAATTCACGCCATATCCCACCCTTCAAACCGAAACACAGCCATGCAAACACAACTGCCTCACGGTTGAAACACGAATGGGACAGAGGTACCCAAGCAATCGACTTTTGTACAAAGTCTCCCTCTGGTAAATATGTGTAAACAACGTGAAATTTCAAAATGAACGATTATTATCGTAGTTTATTATTAGGTCGCTAAGTAAGGGTCAGTGGATGCAGGTGGCTCAGGACTGTTCCTTATGGCAGTCTATGGGGGAGGCCTATGTCCAGCAGTGGACGGACAATGGCTGAGATGATGATGATGAAGACTAGTGATAGTTATTATTAAAAAAAAAAATACTATATTCTGTATACTGTAAAATATTTAATCCCAGTCTCTTATAAAACATAAAACATGAGGCGTGAAAGTTTAATTCCCTTGTTCATAAAAATGCCAAACGTTATATAAACCTATTTTTTTTTTATGGATGAAAATGTTATGGTAACCCCGCCTGCGCTAACGGGATACGCTGGCGGAGCACCAGTGAAGGGTGATAGATGAGAATGAAAACAGGCCAGTTAGCCCATCATGATGAATTCATCAGGAATTAACCATGATAGTTTCCAGGTGGAACCGCGAGGAGGTCGACCTGGTTGGGTATATTGCTAGCAATAGGATTCTCAGTCTCCATTACTAACAATTCCTGTCCCCCCTTATAAACCTATTTGCAACTGTCTTCAAAAATAAGGTGATTCTCAATATATATATATATATATATATATATATATATATATATATATATATATATATATATATATATAACTTATAATGTAAATTTTAATATATTTGTAGCTAGACTACTATTATTTAATTCCTTATAATTGTATATTAAAGTAAATGCTGTGAATACCTATAACAGGCGTGTGCATTAATATTGTATTATATTTAATGTTTGTTATATGTGTTATAATGCAATATGCTGTTGGTGTTCCTTTAAATAAATAAATAAAAATAAATTCGATTGTATTTTTTTTTATGTTTGTTACCTCATAACTCCGTCAGTTCTAAGTCGTTTTGGAAAATTCTTTTTTGTCTGAAAGATATATTTACAGATTTGTTTTATAGTGATTTTATTAAAATCCGACCAGTAGTTTAGTTTTTTAATCAAAATAACTGATTTTGATACAATTAAAGTTGATTTTTCTTTGTGCCATACAATCTTTAATTATAGCTAAATTGTTTACCAGAGGGAGACTGTACAAAAGTCGTTTGCTTGGGTACCACCCATTCGTATTTCAACCGTGAAGCAGTTGTGTTTGCATGGCTGTGTTTCAGTTTGAAGGGTGGGATATGGCGTGAATTTACAGGGTACACAGGAATAACACCTGAGTCCTAAGGAATGGCAACGCATGGGGGGTATCATGGGCGAAACAGTATACTCTGTTATGTCCATGCTGCTGCTCATGTCTATAGGCGACGGTTACCACTTACCATCAGGTGGACCGTCAGCTTGTTTGCCATTCTAAGTTGTGTAAAAAAAATTGAAGTGGTTTGTCTTTTTTGCACTAATTTCTCTATTTAAAAGAGACAGTGACAAAATGTCCTAAGTAGCTTTGTAGATCGATAGATAGATACTCTTTATTGTTTCCTCCAAAGATTACATTAGGAAAATTATAAAAAAAAAAACAAACGCTATCGTGAAACGTTTTAGTTTTTATGAATAAGGGAGTTAAAGTTTTTTTTTTATATTTTGCGTATTTTAGTAAGGTAAGAGTGCAAGATTACTAAAACAGTACGAAAATTTACTTAAACGAAACTAACTGATTCTACGAAACGTTTTAAAATTAACTGTTTATTATTATTAGATTGGCTTCTAATTATATTATATATAAAAATTAATGCCACTTTACGTTATAATTTTATAACTCAAGAACGGGCTCACCTATCCAAACCAAATGTTTAGGCTTTGTTCGGACTATTTAGTAGATGGTTTATGTGAAGTTTGCACATAATGGGTCGAGCGGTTCTTCATTTATCACATTTTTTGTAACAAATGAATTCAATAAATGGCGGATCGTTTTGTTAATGGGGATTTTTGTGTCAATATTAAACTTTTTTTAAGATGGGGATTGTGCTGTCAAAATGAAACTGTTTTTCAGTGTTGACAGTACAAGCGTGTTGTTATGTCATTTATGCGGTCATTTAAATTTATTTTTTATTATTTCACTTTATACGTGGCGAAGCATGTACCGGGCTGCTAGTATATTATAAAATTTGGTTTTGTTTATTTTCAATTAATTATAAAAATAGAGGTTTTTAAATTACCGTATTATTTTTGGGTGTATGTTGTGTAATATCTTCGCTTACTGAGATACTGATTTTGTATTTTTTTAATTGATCTGACTTATTCTCAGGACGTGAACAATGTATCATTAACTAACACATATATATTTATACCAAAATATTATATTAACAAATTATAGGCCAACCCGTCTGCCAAGCGTTACAACTACTGGCAAAACTCCCTTCTGGGGAAGGCTTATGTCCAGCTGTGGGCAGTTAACGGTTGAAATGACGATTATATTTTGTATGATTTAACTGAAATTTGAATTAGTTTTAGTAGTTTTAAATATCTATGTACCAATATATAAATCTATATGTAAATACTAAAATATATTTTGCAATAAAAATAACCTTAAAATAAAATTAATCGCTTTTTTTAAAAAAAAAATGCGATATAAAAAAATAGGCAACTTAGAATAGCAAACACGCTGACGGCCTACCTGATGGGAAGTGGTAACTGTCACCTATAGACATGAGCAGTAAGCTCATGTCTAGTATGCACATAACAGAGTATACTCTTTCGCCCATGATACTCCCCATGCGTTGCCGTTCCTTAGGACTCAGGTGTTATTCCTCTGTACCTTGTAAATTCACACCATATTCCACCCTTCAAACCGAAACACAGCCATGCAAACATAATTGCTTTATGGTAGAAACACGAATGGGACAGAGGTCTGTCTCAGACTCTGTCCCATTCGTGTTTTGTTCACTTTTGTTCAAATTCTCCCTCTGGTAAGTATATATAGACCAATATTTTAAATAATAATGTAAGTATAATGCATTAATTCAATTATATTTGAATTAATAGTTTAGTTTAAGTCAATAGACCTATCAAATAATTGTCTGTTTATATTTAGCTTCTAATTCTTCATAACAAAGCATACAATATGACGAAATTAACACCTAACAATGTTACTTAGAATTGTTATTTTAAATAATATATAAAAAAAAGAACTTAAAAAGATATTCTTGTAACTACTGATATATAAAATTGTATTCAAAATATTCATAGGTAAAAATGGAAAATTAAAGTGTCACAATTATAATGTCCTTGGTGTTTTATTGAACTATGTATTAAAAAAAAGCTGTACTAAGTCTCTGGTCAATTCATTCAATATCCAAGAGCTAGGTAAGATTTTTTTAATGTATCAGCTTATCTATACATTAAGGTAATGCTTCCAGCATCCTGGGAACATTTCCTAATTTTCTGCATTTACTTTTGTTCAATTAATGATAATAGTTTTATTAATTTATTTATTATAAATGTGTTTAGAAGGATTTGATGATTTTCTTATATTTTAATTGAATATATATAAGTATCTAATAAAATCTCATATTTTTAAAAAAATATGAGATTTTATTAGATACTTCTAGATTGTCCCACAAAAAAATTGACTACAATTTGTCACAATACTTTTTTTAAAATTTTTTTTAAACAAGTTACTTTGATTTAAAAACTAAACTACTGAACCGTTTTTGATAAAATTTTTATGGCACTCTATAACTGTAAGTGTATTTTTTCAGATAAAAACAAAGAAGTACAGTCAGGTCTATGAGGTAACAAATATAAAAAAAAATACAACCGAATTCAGGACATTCTTCTTTTTGAAGTCTGTTGGAAATATAATTTATGGACTATTGTTATTAATTTATGCTTTATTTATTAAATTAATTCGCATTGTTTTTTTTTCTTTGTTTATTATCATAGAAATATAGTTTATAATTATTTAATATTTATGTTATATTGACTGTAAAATAGTTTAAAAAATTTAGTTTTTTAACAGTTGAAATATTTTTTTTATAGTTATATTTTTTCTATTTAAATTCATTAAATAATAATAATAATAGAATATATACTTTTTAGTACAGTTTTTTTATCAGATTTATTTACAATTAAATTTTCACTGAATGTCACGTGACTTTGTAATTTCATAGGGGAAAAATGCGATATATTATATCTGGACAGGATTTAGCATATAGATCGATATGTCGTGGGTACATTACATCTAAGATCCAAAAACATCACACCACTTCGTATACACAGATGCACACACTTACTTTTTATATTCGAACACAGATAGGCGGTTACGTGTTTCGCGGCCGACTGCCCGTGTCTTCGCGGATTGCATCTTATATAGTTGATCTTAATTCTATGTTGCATTGAGCTAGGATGCGCGGGAGTGGGGGAGTTTCCGCGTCGCGCGGTATCGCGTACTCCGGAATTTCGGCCGTGAAAAGGGATAAGTGGTAATTGCATTTTAATTAATCGATTGCCCGTCAATAATTCCAGTGCCAGTTTCCGACTCATCTTTATAACTGAGGACGCGTGCGTTTACTTTTCCATGTGCCTTTTTTATTAAAACATCGTAATTCAAGATCTTGTTCCGCAAAAAAAACAAGCGGATTTTGTCGCTCTTGACAAAAAAAATCTTGTATACGAAATCCATAGACACTTTCTCCTTTCAGGTTCTCAAGGTGGACCGGAACAGATCCCTATATATATATATATATATATATACACTTACGACACCTACACTAAAGAAAGGTGTGGCTTATTCTATGCAGGGACCACAAACAAAACATATATATATATATTAGTGTAGGTTCTTTAGTGTAGGTGTCGTAAGAGGCGATCAAGGGAAGTTAATGAGCGAGGGATTGGCAACAGCGACTGTCTTAAAACATCACCTAAAGCCTAACTGCAGTTGCCGTCCCGCCTCCCAAGCGTGGCAACTACTGGTAAAAATCCCAAGGGGGAGGCTTATGTTCAGCAGTGGAAAGTTATGATGATGATAAAGATTTGACTGGATCATAAGACAGTCTGCTGATGTCAGTACCAAATAAGGGGGGAAGGGATTGCTAATGGAGACTAAGGGCCCCATTGCCAGTAATATACCTAACCAGGTCGACCTCCACGTGGCTCCCCCTGGAAACCATCGTGCTGAATTCTAGGTGTATACATCATGATGGGCTAACTGACTTGCCTTTTTATCCTCACCTATCATCCCTCACTGGCGCCCCGCCAGCGTATACCGATAGCACAGACGGAGTTACCATTCCATCAACACCTATTAAAAAAATCAATACAAATAAAGAAACTATTATTTGATTGTTCCACTTTATACTGTGTCACCTCATGGAGAAGTATAACGTCATAATAGATAGACTGTGATTTAAGATATAAAAAAAAACAGTTCCACTTTTGATTCTTGGTACAGAAAATGTACAATCTTAATTCTCCTTGCGTGATAGGATCCGAAACGAGGATAACCACAAAAGAATCAAAATAAGCCACTGCTGGATATAAGCCTCCCCCATAGACTGCCATAAAGAACGGTCCTGAGCCACCTGCATCCACTGACTACCTGCAATGCATTTCAGGTCGTCACTCCATCAAGTCGTCCTACATTGTGTTGCCCGTACGCGGTCGCCACTCAAGAACCTTTCTTCCCCATCGGTTGTCGGTTCTTCGAGTTATGTGACCAGCTCATTGGCACTTCAGCTTGCTTATTCTTCGGGCTATGTCGGTTATTTTGTTTTTTTTTGCGGATATCCTCGTTTCGGATTCTATCACGCAAAGAGATTCCGAGTGTAACACTCTCCATAGCGGGGGGAAGGGATTGTTAGTAATGGGGTCTCATGAATCCATTGCTAGCAATACATTATCAGGTCGACCTCCACGTGGTTCCCCCTGGAAACCATCGTTAACAATTATTGTTGAATTCGTCACAATGGGCTAACTGACCTGCTTCATCTTCATCTATCATCCTTCACTGGTGCCCCGCCGGTGTATCCCGATAGCGCGGGCGGGGTTACCATTCCATTATCACCCATTAAAAAAAACCATCTCCATAGCATATATATATATATATATATATATATATATATATATATATATATATATATTAAAACCTTATCATAATTTACGAAGTAGTAGCTTACAAAGATACAATCGAGTCAAAGACCTTTTATTTTTGACATCAATTGATAATGTCATATTGTATGACTTGAATGTCTGCTTGTATTTATGTACGTTTGTCTCTATAGAGGGCGTGGTGATACAAATATCGTGACGTGAGAGTTTGGTTCACAAGTCGTAACCTTTTACGTATCTACTGTACGTTTGAAATGTTATTGAATCAATTGGTATATAGGGTACGTAATATAATTATTGTTTCGGATGCATTTTGAAATATCCCATCTTGAAATTTACATGGTCAATGTTGCACTTAGGACGTTGAAAAAGTATCAAAAATATGCAGTATTACTTCATATATATATATATATATATATATATATATATATATATATATATATATATATATATATATATATATATATATATATATATATATTTATACAACTTAGAATGGCAAACAAGCTGACGGCTCACCTGATGGAAAGTGGTAACCGTCGCCTATAGACATGAGCAGTACCATGAACATAACAGAGTATACTGTTTCGCCCATGATACCTTCCATGCGTTGCCATTCCTGAGGACTCAGGTGTTATTCCTCTGCACCCAGTAAATTCACGCCATATCCCACCCTTCAAACCGAAACACAGCCATGCAAACACAACTGCTTCTCGGTTGAAACACGAATGGGACAGAGGTACCTAAGCAATCGACTTTTGTACAGTCTCCCTCTGGTATTACATATACTATACACAGACAGGGACAGATTTGTTTTACAAAGTTACCTTAAGGCTTCTTCAGTAAGCAACGCGCACGTGACACCCCTAGTATTATTTTTTTAATGGGTGATAATGAAATGGTAACCCCGCTTGCGCTATCGTTATACGCTAGCGGGGCACCAGGGAGCGATGACAGGTGACGATGAAAGCAGGTCAGTTAGCCCATCGTGACGAATTCCACGATGGTTTCCAGGGGGAACCGCATGGAGTGTATAGTGTATATAAGTTGTAGGGTGTGTATAAGTTATTTGCTTGGGTACCTCTGTTCCATTCGTGTTTCAACCGTGAAGCAATTGTGTTTTCATGGCTGTGTTTCGGTTTGGAGGGTGGGATATAGCAGTGAATTTACAGGATACAGAGGAATCACACCTAAGTCCTCAGAATGGCAACGCATGTGGGGTATCATGGGCGAAACAGTATACTCTGTTATGTCCATGGTACTGCTCATGTCTATAGGCGACGGTTACCATTTTCCATCAGGTGGGCAGTCACCTTGTTTGCCATTCTGAGTTGTATAAAAAAAGAAAAACAAAGTGCTTCAATATGAATACTATCCCTACGACATTGTGTTAAATTATTTAGCGGTGTTAACAAACGAAATTCTGTTATTAACTGCAGTTAAAGTTCATAATATGATGAGAACCAACTGTTTTGTCTCATTCAACATTAGTGCCGATACAATGCAACAATGTTATTGGAAAAACATATGGTAAAAAAAACTATCGCTTTGTCGTCTAATAGTTTGGTGTGGCATGCAATATTGTCTGGGGAAACTGTGGACTTGGTGAGAATTTAAATCTATATACATATACTAACTAGCTAACTAGCTGCACTGCGCGACTTCGCCTGTAACGGAAGTTCTCATAATTCATCATCTCCCTACCCTTATCTCAATTATTATTTGGGGTCGGCGTAATATGGTTTTATCCATATTACTAAAGGATTTAGCTTACAGTTTTACGACCGGCCGCCTGCCTGACGTCAACCCTCTCTAGGAATCATAGTTTTGGGAAGATCCCATAATTTAATTAATTAATTAATTGTGCCCGTTAAAACATAAGATATTTATTTTAAAGATATATTTTTTTTTAACAAAGTATGTAAAAATTAAATTAATGAATCGATTTTTATAAATTTTCTACGGGACTAAACTGTAAGTGTATCCTTTCAGATAAAAGAAAAAGATCAGATGAATCAGAGAACTGACGGAGTTACGAGACAACAGATATAAAAAAAATTGATTTGTAAATATTTTTTCGAAGTCGATTGAAAAGCAAAAAATTTCCCCATTTTTACAACATTTTTTTATTGTTGCTCCGCTCCTTTTGGTCCTAGTGTGATATTATATGACCTATATCATTCCTTGATAAATGGGCTATTCATCATTAAAAGAATTTTTCAATTCGAACCAGTAGTTTCCGAGATTAACGTGTTCAAACAAACATACTTCAGCTTTATAATTTAATTCAATTAGTAGGAGTTTGTTTATTTGTTACCTTTTGATGATTTCATCATTATTATTATTTTTTTTATACAACTTAGAATGGCAAACAAGGTGACGGCCCACCTGATGGAAAGTGGTAACCGTCGCCTATATACATGAGCAGTTCCATGGCAATAACAGAGTATACTGTTTCGCCCATAATACCCCCCATGCGTTGCCATTCCTAAGGACTCAGGTGTTATTCCTCTGTACCCAGTAAATTCACGCCATATCCCACCCTTCAAACCGAAACACAGCCATGCAAATACAGCTGCTTCACGGTTGAAACACGAATGGGACAGAGGTACCCAAGCAATCGACTTTTGTACAAAGTCTCCTTCTAGTGAAGCATATAGCAGAAGGAAAAATAAAAGGCAAAAGTGAAAGAGGAAGGCCGGGGAATAACTACATGGGACAGATAAAAGAAACACTAGGTGTCATGTCGTATAAGGAGATCAAGGATATGGCCTGGGATAGAGCTGGCTGGAAGAGGATGCATGAATTAGTTGCACTGACAAGAGGAAACTGTTAAATAAAAAATAAAAAAACGTAAATGAACCAGTCTATTTTTTTTTATACATTTTTATATGTTAACTATGTTCAATGGACAAATAGGAAAGAGAAAAACAAATGAAGACAAAGTACTGGGACCACATACAACAGGTAAAAGAAACGACAATGGGCAAAGACTGATAAACTTCGCTCTGGAAAACAACCTAAGAATCATGAACAGCTACTACAAAAGGAATTTAAATAGAAAATGGACATGGGTGTCACCGAATGGTAAAATAAGAAATGAAATAGATTATATCATCACAAACAAACCAAGATTGTTCTTAAACATAAATATTGTCAACCAATTTAACTACAACACAGACCACAGACTACTTAGAGGACAATTATATACACGAGAACCAAAATCATTAAGGAAAAATATCTACAATACAAAAACAGTGGCTTTACCAATCCCGGATAATATTCTAGAGTCTTTACACACTAATTTAGAAAAAATAGACAATCTTAAAGAAGTCCAAGAAAAATACGACGCTTTACAGAAGGAATTAAGAGAAATTGAAAGTAAAATGAGAACAATAAGAAAG